AACAGTAAAAGACAGCGAGAAATTGAACACAGAGGGAACTAACTAACACAACTTTACAAGTCATCAGTGACTGAAACCAACAAAAAAAAATGAAGACTCAGTATTTCAAGGAATACAAAAGAGAACAAACTCAACAAAACAAAAAAAAAAAACAATTAAAGAAGAAAATAAAGACATCTAAACCTCAAAAAACACAAGGTACTTAACTAAGGTTACAACTCTTACAAATAGTAAACTATTTGTAAGGCTAACTAAAGAAAAACAAAGAACCCAAACCAAGAGACAGCCTGTAATACTAAACCCAAAAGACAGACTAAACATATACAGAGGACACAGGGGAGTCATATTAAACAACAAACAAAGAGGAATATGGACAATACAGTCACAGTTAATGGAAGCTGACTGTGTGGAGTGAGGAGTAGGACCCAAGGGCAGACATGCGAGAACAAAACTTAATGTTAACAGAAAGCGAGACGTTTATTAAAGGCAGGTTTTAACAGCCCAAAACAAAAGCGTGAAATCAATTCAAAGCTAAACAATAATCTAAAATCGGGAAAACAAGAAGGAAAACATGAAATACCCTAAACATGACAACTGGGCATGCATACATGAAGACCTGGAAACATGTCATGACGTAGCAGACGCTTGGACATGAAATGAATGAAAACACAGAGGATAAATACATACAGGAGGTGATCAGGGGGAGTGGAAACACATGAGGAAACAGCTGATACGAATGAACATAGTGATGCCACAGGGGAAGTGAAATTGAACACACGCTGAACATGGAAACACAATGGGAAGCAGACATGACAACATGAGCTTGACAACATAGGAAACGCAGAAATGAAGCAGAAATGAACCGACGAGGAACACGCACACTGTAACTACACGCAGAGGGGAAAGGGGACTGGAGATGAGACATGGACATAACTAAGCACAAACAGAACGTAATGTGTGGGGGGAAACACACATGACAGATGGAACAGGTCACAGGGGAACTTGTAAACAAGAGGAGGGGACAGGAGACAAAGACATCACTGAAACAGATGAAGGGTGAAGGAGACTTAAACACAGGGGTGAAGACACGAGGGGAATCTAATAAACAATGAAATATAACAGGGCAACGTAGGAGCTTAAGATAAGTAAATGAACTTGAACATAAACCATAAAGCATCAAAATATATGAAAACTCAAAACTCTGGATCAAACAACCCAGGATCGTGACAAATACAGGCTAAATACTCTAACATAAAGAGGAACCAGAAGCACAAATCATAAAACTACAATAACAGTAAAAAATAATAATAATCCATATTTCCACAAAACTCAAAACTCTGTTTCTAAGACCCATGACATGACAACCTGAGCTGGCTTGACTGAGTTCCTCACTGGCTTTGCCCAGCTACCCTATGGAGGAGCTCGTGTTGTCGACTTGTATTTCATGAACTGTGCCTTTACTTTTGTAAAGTGTCATCATATTTACTATAAGTGTGTCTGAGTGTACAGATGCATATGTGTCCATCTATGGTCAACAGAAATTCAGTTGGTCATCTTGCAGCATCGTTAGCCAGATACATAAAAGTATATACACATTCATATACACGTGCACACTAAAGCAGCTGCACTGTGAAACTTTAACCACTAGCTTCTCCTTTCCTGGCACTGAACCACCTCCTGTCTGTGAACTTTCTGTGAAAAACCAACACTGATCGTTTTTACTTCTTTGACATTTTCCTGAATATACAGAAGCAAAAATGTTATCAAACCCTTTAATGAATTAAAGATCACGTTTTAGTTATGAGTGTTTATTATATGGAAACACGTGTTGTTTTCAGTCATTTAGTTTATTAAAAAGAAGACGAACAGTTGGGTTTCAACTTACCAGCTACAACATGTGAAGCTCAGACCAGGGAAGCTGGTGGAGGACAGAAAATAAAATGAAGTAAAATGCTCAAGAATTGCTAGAAAACATCAGGATAAAATGTTTTTATTAGTTTTTAGAAATGATTGATTAATTACACCGTAGATTAGAGCTCTGTTACTGTGTCTTTATTTTTTATGTTTTTTGTAATTTTTTCATTTTCTATTTTTTTTTCTTTTTTCAGGCAGAGAGAGTAATGCCAACATTCAATTTTCTTACACATGATACCTCAGAAGTTTTGATGCACATACATTCACACTGATGTACATAAATAAATCAGGTGCATATAAGGAAAAGGTTTGTATGTATTTTCAAGTCCAGAACTGGTAAATTTGTTATTTGAGTGCTGCCGTTTGCTTTTGTTGTTCAGTATTAGTGCTCTGTTACTTTCAAGTAAGAAAAAAAGAAAGAAAGAAATCAAAAGGAGAAGTGTTTCAGAAGGATAACCAGTGCAAAGTGTTTTTGTAAACCACAGGTTTTAGTTCAGGTTTCTGTCATCTGTTCTCATAAATGACACGAAGCAGCAGCCTTTCTTCTCAGTCATGGAGGGCAGAGAAAAGAGAGCGCTTCATTTCCTGATTCTTGGTAAAACATATTTTCCATAATTTTCAGTGCTTTTATTTATCTATCACAGAGACAGTCTGGATAACTTTACAACAACTTTTCTTAAATTATTTTTAGACTGAATAACTTTATGTCTTGATAACATTCCATGGTTTAATTTTCCCATAGTTGTTTATCTCGTGGTGTCACCTTCACCTTCTGCAGGTCAGTCTGTTCTAACCTGTCATACTTACATTTTCAATTTAAAGCCATTTTTGCAATATAGTTCATATTTTCTTTTTCCTCATAGGTCGGCTCAGATTAGCTGGATCTCGGTACACTCGGTGCTCTGGAAGAGTTGAAATCTATAACTCTTACCGTTACACCTCCTGGGGAACAGTGTGTGATGATGGCTGGGACTTAAAAGATGCTGAGGTGGTCTGTAGAGAGCTGAACTGTGGGATAGCACTGGAGGCTCTTGGGTCTGCTTACTTTGGTCAAGGTACAGGAAATTTCTTCCGCAGTAATGTGGACTGTTCAGGAAGTGAAATTTCTCTAGATTATTGTAGGTACATCAGCTCTATTAGTTATTCCTGTAACTTTGGTCGGGACGCTGGCGTCGTCTGTTCAGGTAAGAAAACTTTTCTATAGTGTTTATGGTCTTATCACTTTATAATAGCTGTTTTTTTCTTGTACTTGTCAATACTTAGATTCTAGTTAGTTCTCATTCCATCATATTTTACTTTCGCAGAAAAGATGTTCAAATGTTTAAAACACACATTTAGTTGTTGTTTTATTACACTCAGTCTTTCTGTTGAACATGTTTGCAGTTTAATGCATATTTAATGAGATAACTGATTTGCATAATTAAACATACCATGTTAACACGTTTCTTACTCAAGGCTTGTGAAGAACTTTGAGCTCAGACTTCACTTAAAGCCTAATTTACAGACTTTTTATCTTGAAAAAGTTTGCCATCCTAAGATCCTAAAAATGTGACTGTTGACAGTATTTTTTAATTCATGTAGAGTTAAGAGAAAGTCATTTTTCTTTCAGGCAGCAGTACAATGTGTGCAGCACACCATTTTCAGTGCTTGTCCAAAAAAGTGAACTCTTTAATTTTTAGCAGCAATAACCTCCAACAATTGTATTCAAAGAGCAGCAGGGTCAAAAAAAGCTTCCACTTAAGCCCCTCAAGTATTTGAGGTTTTTCATTTGCATACATAAAATGGTATCAGCTAAGCCATCAGCCACTAAGATTATCTGATCAGATCTTGACTGTGTCCTGTCTTATCTAATACTGTATCATTTCTTTAGAAACCCTCCCAGAGCCCACCATCTCCTTATACAGTAATGAGGTCACCTGGGGTCAGGACGTCAGCATCACTTGCTCAGTTTCATACAAGTTCTCAGGTGGAACTTTTATCCTCCAGAAGACTTCAGGCTCATTCAGCCAGAGTCAAACATCCTCTATGAGCTCTGTTACATTCAATCTTCAAAATGTGAACTTTGATCATGATGGACTGTACCAGTGTCAGTACATGAAAACAAGTAGAAGGTTCAGCTCTTCCCCTGTCAGACTCTCTGTTACTGGTAAGAAAAAAATCCACTTTGCCAATTTCTTTGTTTCATTCTCTTCTTTCAATAATAGAATCAGTAACCTGGTGAGATAATGCTTTGATATGTTGATATTTTTTCAGTGAGGTTTCCAAAACCTCGTATCTCCATTTACCCTGTTGGTGAGGTGACCTGGGGTCAGACTGTTGAAATCACATGTTCAGTCTCAACTCAGGTTTTAGGTGGATCGTTCACTCTGAGTCAAATTCAGGGTTCATTCAGGAGGAGCCAAACCTCCAACACAAACTCTGCTACCTTCAAAATTCCTAACGTGGACTTTGATAACGAGGGATCTTACCAGTGTCAGTATAAGAAAAGAGGCTCAAGTCGTGAATTCAGCTCCCCATTAAGTGATTCTGTCAGACTCTCTGTTACTGGTAAGAAAAACAAAAACAAGTATGGAGTAACTCTTGGAACAAAGCGAGATAAGAGTGACATGAATAAGAGAGTACTGCATTTTTATCACAGATCCTTTGATTTTTTTTAAAAAAAACTCTGTAACAAAGTAATTGAAAGAGTTTTTCAATCATAGCTTTAAACTTATTTAATTGTTACATATAAAAAGAGTGTATTAAAGATGGAATCTGCTGCTCTATATAGTTTTTAGTCACTTTATTTATCTGATATTTTTACTGGTTCATGTTTTTTGGCCATTATCAAAAATGCTCTCAAAGCCCACTGTAGCAAGCAGCAACCAGACAGTATTAGAGGTTAATTATGGGAGACTGTGGAGCGTTTAGCAATGAAAGAATCAAATCCAGAGTTTGCAAAGACCTATAAGATCATTCATCAAATCAAATTCAGCATAACAATAATATGTTAATGCTGGTCCATACCTACTACATTTATAAACAAGAAACTAAGTGTTGTGTTTGATTCTGCTCCCTTCTTAATCCTGGTACCTTTTATTCCCCAGTGAGTCTGCAGACACCCAGCATCTCCCTGACCTCTCCTGGTGCAGGTCTGGTCTGGGGTCCTGAAGGTGCAGAGATCACCAAGGGTTACAGTTTTGTCTTCACCTGCTCCATTAACTCGACATTTTCCAGTGGACGGTTCTTTCTCATCTTTTCTGACTCCAACATCACAGACAGCAAGCCAGCAGTCAACAACTCAGCCTCCTTTAGTTTCCCTGTAGCTGAGTATGAACACCAAGGCAACTACAGCTGTGTGTATGAAGTCACAGAGTCCACACGGACATTGAGTTCTACTGCAACAGCACCCATTACTGTCATCATTAAATGTAAGTATAGCATTGAATTTATGTTTTGTACTGTCCTAGAAGGACAGTAAATGCTGGTGATATGATAAACACTCCTTTGACTACGATGACCTGGATGACTGAGAACCTTCACAGAGATAAACACTGTTGTCTCACAGAAGGTTTGGTGTTTGTGTGTCTTTGTTACCTGAGCTAACTGTGTTTGCATTTAGCACCTTTGCCTGTGTTTTCTGTGGGTGCTCAGCTCCCTCTAACACTCCAAACATGTTAGATACAAATGTCATTCTAAACAATAAATAAAAGACTCCATACGACTGTAGATTCATCAAAAGTCTGTAATTAGTCTTAAACTCATTTCTGATTAACACACGTTTGCCAAACAAGAACCTCCTTACTATGTAAAACCATGATTACAAAGGAAATAGGAAGTGCCAATAAATAATACAAAACCACTTTCTATCTTTCATTTTTGACAAAAACCTTTTCTCTCTTAGTTCCTCGGATGCTGCTGGTCTCGTCTGTAGTTCCTGTGGTCCTGTTGCTCCTGCTGGTCTTGTTGGTGGTCTTACTGGTGCTCAGGAGAAGGAGGCAAACACAGCAGGCCCACATCCACACCACAGGTCAGTGCTCACCAAAACAAACAACATATTACATGAATCAGCAGCTTTATTTTGATCATGACATCTAGAAAAATCTGCTGTGCTGTGTTTCAGTGACTCTAAAAACCTGTAATGAAGAAGATGACGTCAGTGACGAGGAGAGGATCTATATGAATGTTGAGACACTGAACACCTACAGGAATTTTACCAAACAAACAGGAAGAGCGAAGAGAGAGGAAATATATGAGAAAGAGAGAAAAATGGAAGCAGACCAAGAACAAAGCAGCGGTGATGAAAATGATCATGTATATGTAACACAGATGTTTGCTGAACAAACTGTCGACCTTTATGAAGAACAAGAGGACATTTATCAAAACATTTAGATTTATAATGATTAACATCGATCCATTCAGATTAACACAGTCAGAATAATATTTAATACATTTTAAGATTGGAAGCTAGAGGCTCCATCATTGATCAGAACATTGCAGCCTTTCTGGCTCGTCATCAGTGTAAATATTGTGGGGGGAACTAGTTTATCACAGATTACACATTTTGAATTTCTGTCTTTTAATAATACCCTCTATAAAATGTCCGTGTAGATGAGTTGGTGAAATTATAGTTCAGAATTGGTTTTAGTTAAAAATAATTTCTTTTTAAGCACATAAACACAGTGTGGTGATAAGTGTAAGTATAAGAACGTTGAAAAGATGGTTCAGAAAGCTGCATCTGGTCAGACACAAACTCAGAAAAGCTGGATTTGTACAAAATGAAAAGGGTTAGCGATAACTTTTGTGCTGGACACTGGTTGTTAGTTTATTAGTTTAGAGGTGGTGCAGAGGTGCACCTGTGTGTTTATGCTGTTGTTTGCACTGAAGACCGTGAACGCTTAAAAAAGATGTTCCTGAAATCATAGAAATTTCACTTTGGAGATATTTGAAGCAGCTTATTCATTTTGTTGTGTGTAGAAATGTAAAACAGTGTTTCAGGTACAATTCAAATATGTACAAGTGTCCTTCCTGAAATACCAGCAACAGGGAATAACATGTTTTTCTGTCCAATGTGATGTGTTGAATTTTCTCACAGAATCACATCAATTAAAGGTTGCATCTGATTTTACTCTAAATTGAGCTGAATGTCAAGAAAAATGTAAAGTTAATATTTCATTTCCTGCTCATTTGATTTATTTTAGTTGTATAAGGCTGTTTTGCTAAAACTCAGTGTAGCACTATTGATGCAGAGTATGTATATTTTGTATATTCTTTTTAAGTATAAAGTAAAAGAATACATTAGGCAAGTTTTTATTGTGAAGCCAAGCTAATCTTTGTATTTCTGATGATTATTTAAATGATATAATGCAAATAAATTTGCAATAAAAACAAAAAACAACTTGTTCTTGGAGTATTTGGAAATTAATTACACAATATAACTGCAACTATCTCCAAAACAGTGACCTACAGCGCACACCTGTATTTATCATTTAGCCACTGACCTGTCTGACTGTTACATACACTGAAAAAAAGGCCATGTTGGATTTACTTGATTCAATAGTGGACATTGGTTGCACACAAATGTTTTGCTTTGGCAGAAACTTAAACAATTGTGTTCAATCAACACAACTTTTTCATATTCAATAAACATGTGCATTTTGTGTTCATAAAACGCGATTGAAACATGTTTAGATGAAGTAAGTTGAGCTCTTGGAATATTTTAATACATCACAATTTTGTCATTTTATTTCAATACTATTAAATAACATTTACCCCAATACTACTTGCTCATTTAAATACTACATGTTGTCTTCATATTACATAATGTTCAACAAAGTCTAGAGTCTGGTTAACATAAAAATTGAATGGATCTACAACAACTAACATCCTATCTTTATCCTGGTTGCAGGGGGCTGGGAAATAACCCTGAATTGTTAGGCAGGGTACACCCTAGACAACTCACAAGTCTGTCACAAACAACCATTTGCACTTACATTGACAGGTAATTTAGAATCACCAATTAACCTAACTCTAACAACTGCACGACTTTTAACTGTGGGAAGAAACCAGAATACCCAGAGGGAAACCAGTGCAAATTAGCCAGATTGTGGATTTGAACCCAGGATCTTGTTACTGTGAAGCAACAGCACTAACCACCATGCCACCAATCCAGACTTAACAAAAGTAGGAAAGCTATGATTTCAAGGCTTGATACAGAATTTTTTTGTACGTTTTTGTCCTTGACAGGTTAAACCACAAGAAATAGCAATAGCATGCACGTGATGTGTCGTAGTTGTCTGCCTCTTATAACGCCAGTGATTTTCCTACAGTTTGACATCTCGTGCGATCTTGTGAATTTCATGAGTTCAGCAACTAACCACTCTTACTAGATTGTATCATGTCATCGCAACAAGGACAAATTAAGTTGTTGAATTTCGTACAGATCCTTCATGATTTAATTACGTTCATAGAAGCATGAAATTATTGTGTTTAAATTACAAGTTAGACTTTTTTAATGTAAAAAAGCACCCAATTTACTTTTTTCAGTATACCAAAAAAAGTAGTGGAGGCTACTCGATTTGACTGAGATGGATGCCTTCCTGAAACCACGATCCAAAGCATACGAGACTGAAAGTTATTGACTTACTTCACTCGAGCATGATATGAACAATTTAATCTAGCCTCTCTGCAGATCATGTAGTTTCTACACTATATAGTTACACTTAACTTTAAAGCATGAGGCACTTATGTTAAATACACGCAAGATGCTTACGTAAATCCAAGAATTGGCCAATCCCTTTTTTTCAGTGTACATGCATTAGCAGTCTCAGTCTTCCTATACGTTTTGTAGAATGTATCTTTAACTTATTCAGCATGAGCTCTTACTCAGTATTAACCACATATTTCAACACATATACACAGAACTATTCACACACGATGACTTGTGCAATTGCATTATGAAACCTTTCAAGCATTAGCTTCTCATTTCCTGGCATCAGATCAGGATTTGTCTGTGAATCATCAGTGGAAACCCAAACTGCTGCTCTTTGCTCTTTTGTCATTTTTCTATTTTTTAAAGAGAAAAAGAAAATGTTAACCTCTTTAATTAAACATTGTGTTTGCTTTATTATTCGTTGTGTATTAATGAGAAACGTGACTGTTACATACATGCACTAGCAGACTAATGTATCACTGTGATATGTATGTAAGTATGAATGCACAGCACGTATCTGTATCTATCTGTAATCAACAGAAATTCAGCTTGCTCATATTTCATTAGATATACATACACATATTCACGCATGCATCCCCATATGATTGTGATACACACTGTGAAACTTTCAGCAACTAACCGCCTCTTACCTGTGAACTAGCTGCGGAAAGCTTTGTGGAAGCTCCCCCACCCAAAACAAAAATATATAAAGACACAAGTAAAGTTAACTTGCTGTAATTCTTAAAAATCAGACTTATTTTAGTAATCAGTGTGTAACGTGTGTGTAGGAACAGGTGTTCGCTTTTATCTTTTTTCTCATTTAAAGAGAAGTGGAACAGGTGGCTTTGGAGCTTTAAAAATTGTCATTCGTAAAAACACAAAGATGAGATATCGCACACTGACCATGTAAAGCATTAATTAAATAATCAATTAAATTATTATTATTATTATTATTATTATTATTACATTTATTTTGTCTGTGTTCCTGTAAAGAAACAGGAAAAATCTGCAGGTACGTTTTCAGTGAGTATAAAATGTGCCAGCAACTGGCATTGCCCTTAATGCTGTTTCGGGCTTGTAGCAGCATGCTTCTATACAAAATACGCTCACCTGTTGAACATGAAGAGGAGGATAAATGGAACATTCACAATAATATTACTTCCAGATTTACACAATGGTTATTAAATCTCAAAGACATAATTTACACCTGCGCAAATAAATAACTGACTATATAATTAACATGCTTCCCAAAGACCTTTAAATAGATAATGAAGAACTGAGGTAAACGAATTAAATTAGTTGCTGTTTAAAACCTGGTTAGTGTCATTTGACCCAGCATTTTGTGTTTATTATTATGATCTTGTGTTCCAGTTTATTCTATGTATGTATTTGGGTTTAGACTTTTTAGTTGTTAGGGTTTTGGCTCTGTGCTCCCTCTGTTCCTTGTCTGTACCGTGTCTCTGAGTCCAGTCTGTGTATTCTGTGTATTTCCTGTTTTACTTTGAAGGTCCGTTCCTGATGTCAGTGTATTCAGCTTGCGTCCTCCCTGTCTCCTCGGATTAGGTTCAGCTGGATCTCCCTCCTGTATGCTGTTTCCTAGTTTCCTCTGTGTGTATTTATAGTATGTGTCCTCTTGTGTGCGTTATTGGTCCGTCTTTGTTCCTCCATGCTGTGTTAGCTCCCTGCGTGTCTTCCTACGGATTCAGTTTTGTTTTATTAGTTTTCCCAGTTCGGAGTCGTTCTTAGTTCTGTTTCTCGCCACCCTGGCTTTTGGTTGTATGTCACTCTGCTTCAATAGAGCATCTCGCATCAGCCTCTAAGAATTTAGATTTCCTGCTAATCATTTACTAAGCCAGAAAGACTCCTGACCGTCTGACGACGAAAGAAAAGTGAGCGTCAGTAAGTCATGTAACTTTTTTCAGTTTTTACAAATCACGTCTACGTGGTTACTACTCCTAAATTACCCCTACACAGTGTTTATAACTAATGCTATTGTAGATTTTTTTTCCATGTGCGCTCAAAGAGTAATGCTAACCCTTTGAGCTGTTTATAACTCACTGACTTCTCTGGGAGCTTTGTGACTAAATCTGCATACACACCATGAAGGATGTCGTTTTAAACAAAAACCCTGAATAACAGCCACCATAGTTTTTGTAGTTTTTAGGTAAAGTGAAGCTCAGTTAGATTTAATTAATCTTGCTTGGTGAATTGAAGAACTCACTGCCCGACTTCTTTGTACCAGAAACAATGGGATCTGCAATCTCTCTGTCAGAGGCAAACACTTCCTTCTCTCTGGCTTTGCTCAAACAGCTGAGCAATAACAGCCAGACGGGAAACATCTTTTTCTCCCCGTTCAGCATCTCTTCAGCCCTGGCTATGGTGATGCTGGGGGCCAGAGGCAACACAGCCACACAGCTGTCAGAGGTACAGTACACATGCTCACACACTAACACTAAAATTATAGTGCAGAATAGTTGTTGTAGTGGTACTCATTTAACACATGCAGGATGCTCTGGTGTTAATCTGGGCAGCTGCTGGAAACCACTGTGACCATTATAACTGTATAAATGACCCTGACTTGTCTCCAGTGTATCAGTGTGATATTATTATAGCCTGAAACCTAATGTGAGCGACTGAGCTGGTTAGACATGAGGGCACAGTAACTCATACAAAAGTGATAATGTCGGACCCTTAAAAGAGGTCAAATAAGCTAAACTCAAGTCAACATGACAACCTAAATGAGAAAGTAACTCCAGAGTAATGTGGAAAAATAAACTGAGACTGAAACCAAACCAGTTTTCTGAGATTTATTAACAGAAAGTTCAAATCTTTCCAACAGGATCAATGCTGCACAAACAGTCTTCCTACTAGCTTTGAGAAATACACAAAATAATAACAGCTCCACTCTGTGGATACAGTCTTTGTCTGTTCATCTTTAAGGAGCTGAGTTACCACAGCCTGATATGAATGAAGACACAAAGTGCATCATGAGCTTGAATGCAGCTTACAATTAGTTGTTTTTCCCGTTTTCACACACTCACAACGTTTTAAAAGGAAGTTACAGTTACATACTGTTACTACACAGAGGTTAGGAGAGTGAAACACATACTAAGAAAACCTTGTCAATCAATAAAATTAATTTCATTTTCTTTGTTGAGAAACTAAAGTTATTTCTGTCTCCTTTAGGCTGTGACACAGTAAGCTCCGTTTTTTGTTATTTGTGGCTTTTATTGGATAGTGAAGATGGAAACGCAGGGCTCATGTGAGCACTTATTGCTGATAGGCTAAGTGAATCCAGATAACAGAAAGGTTCCCTGGGGATGTTGAAGAAGCTGGGCACTGAGAGGAAACGAATAATAACAAATCATCTAACAACAAAGAAAGAAAATCAAAAGTTAGTTTCTTTGTTTTAGATCCAGTCCAGAATTTTCTTCTGTCCTTCTTTGAATCCACTAAAGTGTTTTGTCCACAGTGCTTGCAAACCGAGGATTGTTGGGGTGATGTTCACAGCAGCTTCGCCCAACTTCTCACTGTACTCAACAGGACAGATGCTCCATTTACCTTCAGTGTTGCTAACAGACTGTACAGAGAGAAGTCCTGCCCCTTTACTCAGGTCTGTTTCTTCTTTTTATGTAGAGTGTGATTCTTCATGAGCTCGTGTGTTTTGGAGTAAATGAGAGGCAGAGAGAGAAATGCTGTGAGTTCTGACTGATCAGAATCTAAAACTGTGTTAATGATTGAAATGAGGCATGTGTGATTCAGCATGTGTGTTCATGTGAATATAACAGTCTTTTCTTATCATGTCAGCCTGAAGTAAATCAGAATCAGTGATGTCAGACACTTTGCTGGAGTGAATTTACAAATGTGTCGTCTGTGGTTTCAGGAGTTCTTAATACAAAGCAAGAAACATTACAGAGCAGAGCTGGAGTCTGTGGACTTCAAGACCAGGTCTGAAGAAGTCAGGATTGATGTCAACCACTGGGTGCAGCAACACACACCAGGTGGATCACATTTACACATGTAAATGGTCCCAGTCCGTGAGTCGTTTGGTACCGGGCCGCGAAAGTTGAGGCTCAGGTGTGAAATGTATAGTTTTCAGGGTTTTTATCGGTTTTCAGCGTTATTTTGTTATCATTTTTATCGTTTACTCTGTTTTCCTGGGTCTTTTCACGTGTGTTATAAATAAATTTTCTTTTTTTCGGTACCGGTACTAGTTTTATTTTGTTGTATTTATCCGCGACACCTTAAAGGCCGGTCCATGAAAATATTGTCGGGCATAAACCGGTCCGTGGCGCAAAAAAGGTTGGGGACCACTGCTGAGGAGTGTGCACCTGTAAGGATACCATGAAAATACTGAATTTCTTTTCTCCTGGTGTTCAGAAGTGATGGTAGCTGTACTTAACATAGTTTTGAAGAGTGAAGAAGCTTTACAGACCTGTGACCGGGGTTTGTCAAAGGGCTCCTTCCACCGTTAATCCTGATTTAACCCACAGTGATTCAAGCTGATTCAGCAGTGATCTCTGGATCCCAGAACCACCTTCCTCAGTGTCTGCACAGTCCTCTGTTCACTTGTTTCTTTTCAGCCAAACTCACTCACTGCCGCTTCTCATTTTTTTAATCTTCTTGTTTATGTATCTTTTTATATTTTATCTGTCAAACTCTTCCTGTCCCAGTCTCTCAGGTCAATATGAGTTCAGGTAGTTGAGTTTAATGAGCTCTGTGAAAGTTAGACTACAGCACAGCTTAAAATACCATCAGATTTTAATATTAACTCTTTCCTTCTATGAAAAGCGTTTCTGGCTCCCTGCCTGTTTGGGCTGGCACAGCATTAATGGTAGTGTCTTTCACTTCCAAGGTGGCTGCCAGGCACCAGAATACTTTGTTTACATCCAGATGTGTTGACCTTGACTGAAGCTCAACTCAAGTATATGCCGAGCGTTGAGAATTATGAAGAAATATAGGGAGGAGCGCCATCTTGTGGAACAGCACATTAATGCAACTTTACCTGCTTATCTGATGTCCCTTGTTTACCTCATTCATCTTATCTTGTTTAGAAAAAGCAGGATTTATAAGTACTTCAATAATGAGTTGTTACATGTGTGCTGTAGTCATTAGCCAGAGTGGCTGTGCATCCTTACTTGTTCTAAATATTCACATGTTGTGCTGATGAATAATATCTTCGGGTTTCACTAATAGTCAAAGAATATATTAAACAGTATTTGTAAAACTCATCATGTTTCTCTGGCCTACAAAGGCTGAAAGAGTGTGGGGTCCATCGTGTTTTCATAGATTTGTGGATGAAAACTTTGCTGCAGTTTTGAGACTTTACTTCTCAATGTTTACATTTGGTTTTACTTTGGTCACCAGGTAACATCACAGAGGTGGTGGATGAAGATGATTTGAATGAACTGACCAGGCTGGTGTTGTTCACTGCCACCCACTTCAAAGGCTACTGGATAAATAATTTCTCGTGGTCTAAAACTTATGATGCTCAATTTTGGCTCAACAAGGTAAAAGTGCTCATCAAAACAGAACACTGACTATGAAACTATAACCTTGTAAAGTCTATATACCATTGCAGTTGTGGTTGGTCAACATGGACAGTTTCAAATCATGAGCAAATATACAAGTAATATCTGTGAGCCAAAGCTCAGATTTCAGACTGATGTTAAGGACCGGTTTCAGTTTCTCTGCTCTGCATGATGTCAGAAAGATCAGCCCCTCCCCTTTTGTTAAAGAGGGACAGCCAATCAAAATGGCCTCAAGATGAGGGAGCTTTAAAGATGAGGAGCCAAAATTATTAATGTGAGACTGCATTAAGGCCAAGTGTGAGATAAATAAGATTTATTTGGGAGTGTACGACATACAAAGCTTCTTTACGAACTACTTTAATTAAAAGTCATGAGAATACATCTGTGACTGGAAATGAGTCTTCATGACACACAGCTTCAAAGGCAAAGTTTTTCAGAGTCATTTAATTCATTTTTGCATCCAAGACATATTTCAATGAATATATTAAAAATGCTTTTAATTTCTTGTTTGTCTTCAGAATGACTCAAAGCCTGTGAAGATGATGAAACAGGAAGAAGACTTTGCGTGTACCTTCATCGAAGAAGCAAACTGCAAGGTAACCATCATATTTATTATATTTGTATAAATCACTGGCATAATCAGATTTCACTGACAGAGTGATTGTAATGTAAATGTATCAGTAGATTTATGTGCAGTAATGCTTGAAACCCTCTGCTGGACAGATTCTAGAGATGCCTTACAGTGGGAAGGAAGTGAGCATGCTTATCTTTTTACCTGCAGAGATAGAGGATGATACAACAGGACTGGAGAAGGTAGAACACTTACACACTCGTGATGTTCCTGGTGACTCATTTCTTAGTCAACTAAACGAAGAAAACAAATCAGACTGATCGAATCGTCTAAAACTGACAAACACCCAGATATTAAGTCAAATCTGAAAACTGCTCGACATCCAGAACTGTGTAAACAAAGTGATTTGAAACTTTTAATGACATTCTTGAATGAATCATGTTGCTTAACTGTGCAGCACCTCGCATCGCACGTTTACACTACACGTTAAACTCCAAACAGACGACAAAGAAGAAAAACATTTTAAATATATTAACTATGATATGAAAACATGTTTCTACTAAAGATGCTCATTCATTACTGAAATATGAAAAAGTAACAACTGAAAAATAAATAAACTGCAGCTGAAAACTGTGGCACATCGTGCCGTGCATCGTGAATGATGGATGCCGTTCGAGAATTCATGACAATCACTTGAATAAAAGTTTACATTTAAAATAACAAAACAATAAGTCATCCATCAATTTTCTTGTGCTTATCTGATGTTGGGTAGCAGGAACAGCAGCCGAAGCAGAGAAGTCCTCCAGCTTATCTGGGGAAATGTTAAGGTGTTCCCAGTCCGGCCAATAGATTTATTCTCTCCAGCAGGTCACAGTGTATGCCTGGTGGGAACACCTTACCCTGGAGGTGCCCCCTCAGCTGTCTCCTTTTAAGCAGTGGCAACTCTACTCTGAGCCTTTTTTGAAAAACTGAACTCCTTTTAGAGAAAGCTATTTTCTGTCGGTTGCAGGTCCTATTTTTTCATCTTGTGGTGTCCTCGGGATTCCCATATGCTTGTTTGCCATTCACCTAGCGACCATTTTTGATCCGAGGACACCACAAGGGTTACGTAGCAATAATAGGTAATTAAATAAAATAATGTTAACAGAAAAATCAGGCCAAGATTAACGAATTTATGGCATTTCTCACCAACACTGCTCTATTTGGTGGCAGATGGCTGCATAACATTTAGGACACAAAAATGTAAAATTTATTGATAAATTTATTTTATCAATAAAATGTAAACAGTAAAACTGATTAAATTACTAGTACATCTGATACTAACTAGTGACAATAGCAATGATTACTTGACTAGTTGTACACATCCACCAATACACATAAACCACACACACACACAATCTCTAATAAGTGATATTGTTTCCATCCCAGCTGGAGAAGGAGCTGACCTCCGAGAAATTTGTGGCTTGGACTCATCCAGGCCAGATGCAAACATATCATATTGATGTGAGGCTGCCTCGATTTACACTGGAGGAGACGTATGACCTGAACACAGTCCTGAGCAGCATGGGCATGGTGGACGCCTTTGATCACACAAAGTGTGACTTCTCTGGTGAGACATACGTTTGCAGTTTGTTGGTGTTTATGAACAGAGTGTAGAGCAACAATGCTCCAGCAGTGAACGAGTTCTCCAAAAGACCATGGAGCTGCTTATTTCAGCAGATTGTTTATCTTGTTTGATGATCATACTACTGTGAGATTTTGAAAGCAGGATCTAAGCTTTGTTGCTGGGTTTTGAATGGACTGGTGGACTTTTACATGACAGTCCTGATACTTTTATTGTAGATACATTATCTGAATTTCAGGAGTGGGTCCACACCTCTAAACTTGGCCTTTACGGTTCTTATCTATATATAACAGCCTCAGCTCTACAAGCTGTTCATTCCCTGCCCTTTTTCAATTCTTTCACGTCTCATTAGCACATGGGGATCTGCCTGGCCCAGGAGCCGCCGCCAGTCCCCTCTGAGGTCTTCTCCAAACTGCTATTAATATTTTTAAGTCATTTGCCTTTATTTACTAAAAACGCTGTCAAAAATAAAATGAGGATGGGCCCAGCTAGTGAAATATTATAATACTGACAGACAGTCAGGGAGGTGTTCTGGCTTCCTCCTGCCTAAACTAGACGTACTCTCTGACACTAATCACCAGAGGTGGGACCAAGTCATTGTTTTGCAAGTCTCAAGTAAGTCTCAAGTAAGTCTCAAGTCTTTACCCTTAAGTCACAAGTCAAGTCTCAAGTCACTGGTGTAAAAGTCCGAGTGACTTTACTCGGACTTTGAATTTCAAGTCCTTTCGATTCTTTAAAAAACAAAAACAAAAAAAAGAATGTTGCAGTTATGCTAAATGTAAATATTAGACCATGTGATTTTTAAATCTCTATTTTTCTCAACACATGACAAAATAGTGAACTTAGAAAATATACACAAATTGTGAAATTGCACCTCTTTAAAATGCAGCTCAATTAAACCTAGCTCCAAGAATAATTTTCACCGACAGTTCTGAGATAAGCTGCATGTTATTCTTGGATGTGCTTGTAGGACCGGCTTTAAAATCGCATGACAAAAATATCATACACATTAAAACCAAACAGTATCATCAACGTAGCCTGGACAACATTTGCTCGTTAGATGAAGTCAGCTATCCCATCGTAGCAAAAGAGAAGCACCACCTACCGTTCTTTATGCAACTTCAACTGTCAGACAAAGTTGGAAGTTGTTCCATCTGTCTGTGATTCTCTTCTTGCATGTTTTGCATATTGCATTTCGGGGTTTTTTTGTTGACTACTTCATAGTTTATGTACCTGAAAAAAATAACTCCTTGCAGCATTTTTGAGCATTTTTTTTTTCTTAAAAAAAAATCTGGTTAATTTGATTGGCTGTGCTACAGCTCACACACACATACGTACGGAGTGTGGTTTGAATAAATGAATGAATGAATTGAATTAATGGTGCACACTTTCTATATAATATGCGTGTTAAATTTTAGATTTGGGGTGAAATATCAAGTCTTTTCAAGTAAACCGGTTCAAGTCCAATTCAAGTCCCAGGTCATTGGTGTAAAAGTCCAAGTCAAGTCACAAGTCTTAGAACATTTTTTCAAGTCAAGTCTAAAGTCATAAAATTAATGACTCGAGTCCAAGTCATGTGACTTGAGTCCACACCTCTGCTAATCACTAATGACAATGTTAAGAAATATACTCTAAAACACTTCTTCAGTAAAGACTCAGAGAAGAGAAACACACAGAACTTCTTGCTAGCAAGGGCAGCCTCCAGAACTGAGGCTCGCACTGAGAAACTGCCCCGGTCTTTATTTATACTTCAGTGAGCGTTTGTTCCTTACATTGGAATGTGGAGGTGTGTGTGTGTGTGTGTGTGTGTGGGGGGGGGGGTCAGAGTGTGGCCCCATAAACGACTTCCCTTAACCTGCTGGTCTGGAAAATCCAACAGTTCATCTATATGTAAAAAATCACTTAAACTAAAACTGACATAGCTACATTAATCCTACCGTAAAACAATAAGACAAGGTACGACCTCTCTCATGCTCCTAGGATGTGGGGGTGAACACCCTAGAATGTTACAGACATCCGAGGATGAGACGTTCAATATGCCACCAACTATATACTTCTACACACAAATGATTACATGCAGCATTCTACCATATGAAAACTTATATCATTAAAAGATTATACTGACTACTAAGTACAATTTTCCTATTAACAGACAGGCTGTTGAAGTGACCTTATTAAGGTTTATTTTTGAGATATCACACTTTGACAGAATAGTAGAGAGGATAAAAGGGAGAGGATGAGGCATGCAGGAAATGGTCTGGAAACACTCAAACCCAGGCTCCTGCAGATCTTTTGGTATTTTAGTTGTCAGCTCAACCAGGTGATCTATATCACCACCTAGCCTTATCAGAATTTAATTTGAAAAAACCCTCTCAGATAAAAACAAAAAAGAAAAAAAATGAAAATGCAGCATTATGTTCATTTAAAATGTTCTCCTTTCACTTCTCTGTCACAGGCATGTCTGGGCGCAAAGATCTGGTACTTTCAAAAGTCATCCACAAGGCTTTTGTGAAGGTCCACGAGAAGGCAACTGAGGCTACTTTTGTGGATATGTGTTGGGGTGAGACTATGATGGGCAAAATAAGATGGGGCAATTGTGATTTAAAATCCTTCATCGCAGACCACCCCTTCCTCTTCTTCATCAGACATAACCCCACCATGAACATCCTGTTTGCTGGTCGGTTCTGCTGCCCTGTGTGAGCTCTGTGTCCTTTAGAGCAGCTCAGTACCAGAAGTCTTTAGTGTTTAGTTGGAGAACCTTTCAAAATCACTGCACAACAGCGCTGTATTCATATTAATATACAGCTCTATACTATCCGTTTTTTCTGTGTTTTGTATTTTCCTATTTTCAAAACTTTATCATCTTTAATGTTATCTGTTCCGATGTTTATATCATACTCTTCAAATGTCCCATCTCCTGATCAGAAATTTATCAAAGAGTGTTTAGTGGCTGAAATGAGACGAATTGCATGACGTATAATTTATGTTTGAATCTTTATTTCTCATTGACATCACACTGGCCAGTTAGGGACCACCAACAAGCCAGATGTGGTCCAGTTGCTAAAAACATCTTTAAAAAAAGAAAAAAAAAAAGAAAAGTAAAACATGTCATGTTAATTGTTTCTGCTCTTACTGTCTTTCTTTAATAACAGTGAAACAAAATCACTATATTTATTTAAACATAAAAGGGACGCAGATTTATATATATGATTTGGTTAAACAAGGGCTAAGTTTTTCCAAATGTTGATGGAGGGGAGCCTATTGTTTTATTCCACTCATCTCGTGTCAGCCAATTGCTGAAGCTCTAGCCAGCTCTTGTCCCTTCTTAGCGCCAGCGCCCATGTTTTCAGTCTCTTGCTTTCTCCAGCCGAGCAGAGCAGGCGGGCTTAAACGTTTTGAATTGGTAAGCTGGAGAAATGAACCTCTAGAGAGTGAAATACCATTTAAACTGGTATTGTTCACGAAGTACTTTTTTGCTTTTGTTGTCGTAAAGGACGGAGTGAAAACGAAGGGTTTACTGAGAAATGCCAGAATCTCAGGTTAAAGCTCACAAAACTATTTTGACAACCACCAAACAGCTAAAACAGTAAATGAGAGCAGGTAAACGGATTCCTCACAAAGGCAACGCGGACCCGACGCATCAGAATCAGTGAGATGTGGCTTTCTCACCCGATGGCGCATACTCCAACAAGAAAGCCTAATTTCTGCTGTTTAATAGCAAAGAAACTCATTTTTAAAATTATGCCAAATTGCAAAATGCTTAGCTGTGTCTTTAATAAAACCTCTGTAACTTTGCTCTGCTTCACTTCAGCAGCATCAGGTCATGTTCATATGTTGATTTGTTCTGTTGCAGAATATTTTTAGGGCAGTTATCTGCTATAAAAAGCCAGGCCTGGAAAATCTCCTTCATGTTTTTCTGTGTTTTATCCTCAGTTACTTTGACACAAAGACATCTGCTGTGATGCTCACACCTCTGATGAAGTCTCACAAGTGTCAGTACTGATAAATGATCAGAATTATAATATTTTGGACTGTCTGAGGCAAAATTGAATCGAATCGGGACCTTGCGACTCATAATTGAATGGATTATAGAAATCCGTGACGATACCCAGCCCTAGTGAGGAGCCTAGGCCGGACAGAAGTGGATGTAGCTGTGGGTAATCAGAAAAGATGAAAAGAACGATTGATATCGTAAGTTAAGGCCTGATCCATCTGAAATTCATAGCCAGTGCTCTGACATGGAGCCATCAACCTCTGAATGGTGAAAAAGCACAGTATATCCAGAAAACACATAATATGCCGCAATAAATGCACTGCCCAAATGTCCCCTCTCCTCAATGCCTTTCAGCGGCAGGCAGCAGCAAACAAGTCGATGATGATTAAGTTTAACATTGTCTCAAATACTGCCAAAGCACTTTAAGCACAAGCACTTATTCAGTAACGTCTTTCTTGTAGAACTGGGCTCCAAATAAAGAACTTTGTGTTGACAAGATTGTTATTTAATCATTTACAAATCAATATTGTCTGTATGGACACCACGACAGGCACCAACCACCTTGAGGCCGCAGCTCAGTGAAGCAGCTTCGGCAATGGCAAAGTCCAATAATGAAAAACTACTCGGGTTCAGCTCAGGGAGGCCATTCCTCCCAATCACGCCCTTTCAGGTACTGTCGTTGCCCACATCAGCATTGAAGTCGGGCGGTGGAAGGAATACTTCGAGGACCTCCTTAATCCCACTTATGTGGAGGGAACAGAGTCTGGGGACGAGGGGGATGACCCACCAATCTACAGGGTCCATGGTTTGGCTGGAACGTTCTGTCAGGGTTGACGGAAACTCAGGTGCAGACTTAAGGAAAAGAGCAAGGAGAGTTTATTTCCATTTAAAAAAGCAAAACAAAAACAAAACTGATTGACTATATACAGAATGTGAGGGGAGTTCAGGGGTTCTGGGGTTCCACGGGGTAGGTGAGGGGAAATTCCACACATTCTCTCCAGTTCACTCCCAAGCTGCTCTTCGGCCACGCCACACACGCTCTGCTCCTGCCACACAAAACGCTCCTCTTCACTTCACTCACACTCGGGAAAACCAGGGACGAGAATCAAGGACCAAATTAAACCAGAGCCACTCTGTGCTATCTTTGATGTGGTCTAGAACCTGAATCTGCCCAACTCTAGACTCAAACTTAAACTTTTCATTACTGCTGGCCAGGCGAGCTATTTTGCTTTAGTGGGAAGACTCTTGCATGCGCAATAGGTAAAAGATATAATGTCCTGTATGGATTTAGAAAAAAATTTAATATACAGTTTGTGGGTCAAAAAACACATTTTATAAACTGTGGTCCCCTTTCCTGGGCTCCTTTAAGCTGAACACAGCTTCAACCGTCTGTTTGTTGTTAGTAACGCCGTTACTTGTAACGCTGTTATTCCCATCACTGTTCATATTTGACTAAAACCTTTTCTCTCTTAGTTCCTCGGATGCTACTGTCGCGGTCTGCGGAGGCAGACCATGCGGTGGTGTGTGTGGTGGACCCAGGTGCGAACACACGAGAGTAGACTCGAGTAAACTTAACTGAAAGCGAGCCTTTATTGTGGCTGGTGACAGGGAGTGCAGACAAGGCAGAAACGCAGTGACAAACTAAACTATGACTAAACTGGGAAAGTAAAACTGGGAAAAAACTATGAAGACACAGGAAACCATAACTATGAATACTAAGACTGGCTGTGACAACATGGAGGGTGGAACACAGACGATGCGACAATGACATTCAGAAAACAGAGGACTTAAATACACACATGAGGTGCTCAGGGGAAGTGGAGACACATGAGGAAACAGCTGACTAGGATAAACAAAATGATGCACAGGCAAGAGTAAAACTAACCACATGAACACAGAACATAAGCCCCTTTTCAAAATAAAACAGGAAACATGCAGACTTAGACACGACAACACAACTTAACAGGCCTAACACGTATGACAGACTAGACAAGGAGCCAAACATAACCACAGAGACAAGACACATGAACCAGGGAAACTTAGTACAGGGGAGATGACATAACTAAGAAACAGGACTACACAGTAGGTGCACTAAGCTAAGGCACAAAATAAATATAAAAGATACATAAACTCAACACTGGGTCGCTTGACCCAGGACCATGACAGCTGCTGGTCTCGTCTGTAGTTCCTGTGGTCCTGTTGCTCCTGCTGGTCTTGTTGGTGGTCTTACTGGTGCTCAGGAGAAGGAGGCAAACACAGCAGGCCCACATCCACAGCAGAGGTCAGTGCTCACCAGAACAAACAATATATTGGATGAAACAGCAGCTTTGTTTAGATCATGATGTCTAGAAGAATCTGCTTTGCTCTGTTTCAGTCATTCTAAAAACCTGCAATGAAGAAGATGACGTCAGTGACGAGGAGAGGATCTATATCAGGCCTGCCCAATCCCAGTCCTCGAGAGCTACTATCCTGCAGCTTTTAGATGCATCCCTACTCCAACACAGCTGAGTCAAATGGTTTGATCTCTTCAGCATGCCATCATGTTTGGCAAAGGCCTGATAACAAGCCATTCATTTGATTCGGGTGTGTGGGAACAAGGATGCATCTAAAAGCTGCAGGACGGTAGCTCTCGAGGACCGGGATTGGGCACCCCTGATCTATATGAATGTTGAGACACTGAACACCTACAGGAATTTTACCAAACAACCGGAAGGAGTGGAGGAAGAGGAAACAGAAGAGAAAGAGATAAAAATCCCATCAATAGAAGTGATTTTAGTCTAAATTGAGCTGTACCTATAGTGTACTTACATTTTTTTAAAGTGTAGAGTAAAATAATACATAAAGCAAAGTTGTTTTTATTGTGAAGCCTGAAAAAGATTTGTCTTTTTGATTATTAGTAAAAAAAAAAAAAAAAATTCTTGGAGTATTTGGAAATTAATTGCACAATATAGCTGCTGCTATCCCTAATACAGTGACCTACAGCACACACCTGTATTTGTCATTCAGGCCACTCACCTGTCTGACTGTCACATACAGTCTCAGTCTTCCACATCATCATGCATCTTTAGCCAACTTAGCATGAGATGTTGCTCAGTATTAACCACATATTTCAACGGATATACACAAACAGATACACACAAGCCAGCGTGCATTATGGCACCTTTTAACCAATAGCTTCTGCTTTCCTGGCATCAAACCACCTCTTTTCTGTCTTTGAAAAATTCAAATTACTGCTTTTTGCTTCTTTGTAGTTTTCCCAAAATATGAGTAGATAAATAAGTTAACCCAGTTGAGTTATTACAAATCATGCTTATTTTAGCAGTCAGTGTAAATTATGTGTGCAGGAACAAGTGTTGGTTTTGACCATTTCTTTTTTATATTAAAGAGAAGTGGAACAGGTGGCTTTGCAGCCTTAAGAAAATCTTCATTGATAAAAACACAAAGCTTAGCTGTAACACACTCACCTATGTATTTATTTCTATTATTGTAGTTATTTTGTCTGTGTCCCTGTACAGAAATATGAAAACCCTGTATGATTTTCACATTCCTTTTTGTTAACTAAAACATTCAAACAAAAATGTCAATTAGTTTTTAGGGAGCACAAAATATTCCAGCATGCAAAATGCTGTGAAAGAATTAACAACAAACCAATGAAATTCTACAATAACTGTAATATCGCTCAGGTAGCAGGTGAGGTATTTCAGAAAATCCAGCTGAGCATGCTGCAGCTATTATCCACCGCTAATACCTGCTGCTTACTGAATTTGACCAAGAAGCTATACTGCCCTCAAGTGGAAGAGAATGTAACTGTTAGGTCTACACTTATAGTGTCACGGTCCTGGGTCTCCTGACCCAGCGTTTTTAGTTCTTTGTGATGTTTGTATTATTGTACTTGTGTGAGTTATTCTATGGTTTCTAGTTTCGATCCCTTGCCCTTCATGTTTCTCTGTGTCCCCTCTGTTCTTAGAGTCCTCTGCCTTATGGTTTATGTCTCTGTGTTTCTTAGTTGCTGTCTCCACTGTGTCAAGTTCGCGTCTCTGTGTGATCCTTCCTGTTTTACTTTGATGGTCCGCGTCTTATGTGAATGCGTCCTGCTTTCCTTGTCTCGTCAGTCCTGATTTCTCCCAGCTGTGCCCTCCTTCTGTGTCTCATTCCCCTCGTTACTTCCCAGTGTATTTTAACCCTGTGTTTCTCTGAGTCAGTGTCGCGTTGTCCCTCATGCTGTGTGGATCGCCCTGTGGCTCTCTGGGAGTTCTTAGTTTGTTGTTTCCCAGTTTAGTTTGTTTGTCCTACCAGCAAATAAAGCTGTGATTTTTGAGTTCATCCCCTGAGTCTGTGAGTCTTGCATTTTGGGTCCAACTCCTGCCTGCCGCACAGCGATTCATGACATATAGACCCTGCTAACTCAGACTTCTTCGTGTAAGTTCTGCACCCTGCTAATCATCTTGCACAATGACAATCATATTGATCCACAATTCTCCAACATTAACTGTTCTGCCTGTCACAATGCTACGCTCGCTCGGAGTACCAATCAGGTGAATTTGGATAATCTTCCATGGCAGCAGTGGTTGAGAAACACTGCTCTATAGACACAGACCCTCTGCATTTATTTTACTCAAACTTTCCTATATATTTTTTATACAATGCCATTTGTCTA